TATATATATATATATATATCGTCCTTCACCACTCTGACTAAACCGGAAGTTTACGACCGGTGTTGCTCTTGTCAAACTTCGTGGGTCTTTAAAACCGTCAGGAGGAGCTAGCAGGTAGACTTAGCTAGCTCCACATTCTTTACCATATTATTCCTGAACATCATGTTAGTTTTAGGATCAAAATATCTTGAGTTACAAAACATTAGTTTTGTACAATTAGCGTTTGCTCAAGTGTTGTGTTTTTTGGTGAGTTTGAACAGAGAAATATGTGATGGACCCACTTATTTTGTAATAAGTAGATGACTTCAAGAGCTTGCGTTTAATGACTTTCTAGAATTTTGCCTTTTAAATYTAATACGTAACGTGAAGCTGTTAGGTAATGTGTTGTGTTTTTCCCCCACTGTTTAGTGATGTAATTGTTTTAGAGCCCACTAGAGGGCAGACTTGTATGAATTTTAGAGAAACTAAAGCTGAGTCCTTGTTAATTAATGCATACTTTCAAAGACTACATTGAAGTATTCACTTTTGCATTTTAATAAGTTAGAAGTTGATAATTTCAGGCATAAAAATGTAAATGCTGCACAGTTGACCTGAAGCACTGTAGAGAAACACTGAGATGAGGACAAAAACAAACAAATTTTGATATCTGACCTGTSAAAATTTAGTTATCAGATTGTTAAACATAAAAATTTGTTGCAAGTTGTATTTATTTTGCTCAGAAGAGTTGGTGCTGAAAACATAACTAAGTTATACTGGGATGATTTGTTGTGTCACATGTCTGACAAAAAAAATGTTTTTGTCTTGATGTAGGTGAGGGAGATAGACGGATCCACAACATGTAAGGCCTTCTGAATGCAGCATACTAAAGAAAAACAAATACCAGTAAAATAACAGTAAATTGATATTTATTTTTCCTCTATYAAGGTCTTGGATGAAGTGCTACACTTCTCTGCCCCTGACAGCAGGTTTCCTGTTTATAGGCCTCCCGTACTCCTTCTGTATAGTTGCTCAGTGGCTTTAYGGCTGGCCCACTAAGCCTGGCTATAAAAAATACATAGAAGCTCTAAAACCAAGGTAATACTTTGGATTGGGACAGTTTCAGTAATTAATGTCAGAGTCCTTTGTTTTTATTTACTTATCAAGAAGAGGTTTAATTCTTTATTTCTTATCATTTTCCTCTCAATGAGGCGGGTTTACTGTTTGACCATCGCTACGTTGGATATTCTCAAATACCTCCAATATGGAAGACTGTACTTTCAGCTGAAGTCATGGTATAAAAATGAAGATAACAGGAACCTTTACAAAAAGGTGTGTTTATTATAAAGTGCTGCTACGAACGTCGAAATGGTCCAAAATGTGTCAGTAACGAGTTTGATCTTGCTTTTTAAATAAGGGCATCATTTTTGGACGCAGAGGCAACAAGCTGGACTTGTACCGCCCTTTAARTATGAACAAACCTGAAAATGGGCCGACACCGCTGGTGGTTTTTATCTATGGAGGTGCATGGGGCTCTGGAGAAAGATCCACCTACTGTTTACTGTCCAAGCAGATGGCTGATGAACTGAACACGACTGTCGTTTGTCCAGATTATAGCATTTATCCAAAGGTAAGACCAACATTATGGAGTTATCCAATATTTATTTATGAGGATGTGTGTGTTTTTTGTAAATGATTGATTCTGTTTGAAACRAATTATCCAGAGAGCGTGACAGCCAGACTTTCCTCATGTGATGTTATTTTACCTCTTGATTCTGCGTGTGGTGTCTTTAGTTTGGATCTTGATGAGCTACAAATTCATACTTTTAACAATTTACTTTTGGGGATTTTTTTTATCAGCTTCTGATTCTAAGTTTTGAACTGGTTGCCTGTTTTTATTGTCAGGGAAATGTTTTAGGAATGGTCCAAGACATTGCTGACTGTCTGCTTTGGGCCCAAGAAAATGGACAGAGGTTCAACTTTGATAAAGTAAGACGTGTGTTAAGTTTTGTTTGGAAACTGCAGAAGTGTCCTGTGTACAACGCCCTTAAGGTTTTCCTGAATCAATATCAAATGCATATTTTTCTTTATTTTTTACAATTAGCACTAATCCTAATAGGCTAAAAAAAGCTACCATTTCTGTCCAGTTTAAGAGTACTGATGGTATTTGGAGGAAATCYGTTCACTCTAAGACAGGGCTGTTCAACTGGCGGCCCACGGGCCACATCCAGCCTGTGAGTGACCAAAGTCTGGCCCACCAATTGGTTCGTTCATCTCTAAAGCCCAAACCCCCAATTTTAGTTAGACATAGACCTGTGTGGTGTCTACAGAAACGTTAGAATCGTGGCTAGAAGCTGTTAAAACCATTCCTCTGCACACTCAAGACAGTTAAAACAATCAAAACTACAAGCAGTTGAACATATAACAATGAAAGTGAAAATAAAATTGGTTTAGAAATTTGGCGAGTCAGAGATGTCAAAATAATATTTGTGTTAAATGTGAGGCACAAGCTGAACCTTATTTATTTATTTATTGATTTATTTATTAGATTTATTAGATAGATTCAAATTAAAGCA